GAAGAAGATTCNCTTTACGCAGCGCTACACACCGGACCCGGCGGACGTCGCGCTAATGAGTGACAGTGAGGTGTTCGTGCTCTGCGAGCTCCTGGCTGATGTGGGGAAGCGCATGCAGCTGGTCCTGAAGGGTCGAATGACGAAGGGGCTCTGCAGCCGCTGTGCGGCGGCCGCCAAGCTGCAAGGAAGAAGCATCTTCACCTGCGGCCACACCTCCGTCTGTGCGGAGTGTGCAATGACGTGCGGCGTGTGCCCGGTTTGTGCCGCCACGCGCCGTGTTTGAGAGGGGGGTCTGACGCGGCAGCACATCTCTTGTTTGGCGCTTTTTTTCCTTCCTTCTTTCTTTCGCTCTTCCTCTGTTTCCCTCTTTTTTTCTTTTTCGTGTGCTATTATTATTTCGCCCCTCCTTGCTTTACTTTTCACCGCTGCTTGCTTGATTTTTTATCTTGCGGCTGCGCCGGACGTGTGTGCCGCCGCAGAGAAGAGGGCGCCGGGTGAGTGGTGACCGCCGCAGTCCAGCGCAGCGAGGGAAGTGGCGGGGGAGGCGCCCACCGCCCCCCACCCGGCGCCCTGTTCTCTGCGTGCGCGCGTGCACCTTCTTTCCTTCACACGACAGGGCACCCACCCACCACACACACACACTGTATATATATATATATATTCATCTGTAATGTACATATGCAATGAAGTTGCTGCTTCCGGTGTTGATTGTTGCTGCTATTTTTGCGAAGGCGGTTGTTTGTTTCTCTCTGCGTGCGCGCGCGCGCGCGTGTGTGTGTGTGTGTCTGGGAGCGGCGGATGGGGGACATCAACTCGCACGCGAAACCCCCCAGCGAGGGCTGGCGGAAGGCGGGGAAGGGGGCCGGGGCCGGGGCCGGGGCTGTCGGCCGTGGGCGTTTCTGTGCTGCTTCTCTCGGAGGAGGCGACCTTGAATTTCTCTCCCTTCCTCTCTCTCTTTCTCTTTCTCTCCCTGTGTGTGTGTGTGTGCATGCCAGCGTAGGAAGCAAGGAAGGCTCTAGGTAACATACACAAATTCAAGCAAACGGGCAGACACTCACACGCACGCAAAGACCGACAGTCAAGCAGGCAATTCGAAGCAAAGCCAAAAAATTAGCAGCGTGGAGGGAAGGGGAAAACTCAAGAAGAAAAAACAGACGGAAGGTGGGCTGCGCATCTGTTTGCATCGGCTGCCACTCTTTGCCACCGCGAGTCTCACCAAGGGGGGAGGCGCGTGAGGGGCACAACAATCACTCGCCAGAGGCTCTCTTGCGGCGTCGTCCGGGCGCGTCGCGGGCTTCGGCGACACCGGCAACACATTCTTCCCCGCGGGGAGCGCGCCAGTAGCACCTTTCACAGAGGGACGGCGGCGGCAGCGGGCCACAGACGGCAATGGAGGAGGAGTACCCGGTGAACCTGCGCGTGGAGATGGCGCCCGACGGAAGTGCGGTGCTCCTGCCAGGCAGCATCACCATCACGCACACCACCGTCTCCGTCTTCAAGCTCTGCGAGCTCAACGACGAGGAGCCGCTCTTTATTGGCATTTGCTCCATCCCACTCATAAAGCTTGCGCGGGTGCCGAGTGTCTTGTTCACTGGCTCCGAGGCACTTGCGCTGACAAGCGTCTCGGACCATCTCTTCATCAACGCCTCCCTCTCCGCCGGCATCGCCCCGCAGAAGGAGGGCGGCAGCACCACCAGCAGACGCACGGCGTCCACCGGCCTCTTCCCGGGCTCGCCAAAGGAGGAGCCCACCGCCGACGAGCTCCAGCGCCTCGACAACCCGGCGCAGTGGGAACAGTTGCGCCTCGAGTTCCCCAGTAGAGAGGCGTACAGCCGGTGCATCACGGCCCTCCTCGCCCGCGGCGCGGAGGACTTCACGGAGGACTACCTTGCCTCCCTCCGCCACCCCCCCGACGCGCCCCTGCTGCCAGAGAACATCTCGCCAAAAACCCGCTCCATCCACGCAAGCGAGTTCGCCGCAAGCGTCAAAACCCAAAGCCAACTGCGCTCCTGCACCGCGAATGAGTTGGCGACGACAACGGGCGACCTCAGTGAAATGCACAGCTGTCGAAGTCCCCCGGCGGGGTCGATGGACCTGCGAGAGAGCCCGTTTCAGTTCCGGGCCTCCAGAGGGCCGCTGGGCGGAACGAATGAGGGCCTGCGAGAGGGGGGAACACCACGAAGCGACGTACTACGCACCCCGCGTGGGAGTCAGCCGGATCGCAGTGCGTCTTCCCGGAGCCAACCAGTATCCAGCCAACGTGAAATATTGACTCCGCATGAGTCGTATGCTAGTTCGAAGGTCCTGCAGAGCTCGCACAGAGGCCGGGGACTTCCCGTGCGCAGTAATCCCACAAACAGCCGCCGGGAGCTTGCGACGCCGAGCGAATCGCGATCCCTGCGTGATGAATCAACAAAGGGGAGTCTGCGAGAGTTCCCACGTGAGACCGTCCTGGCACAGAGACCGTTGCCAACCAACAGCATCCATGAACAAACCCCGCACTCGATTCTCTCCTCCCGCAATGGGAGCGACGCGGGGCGTCCGCGGCAGCCAAACACCGTCGGCCAGCCGACCTCGTTTGGAACAACGACGATCCCCGCCAACTTGAAATCGCTTGGCCCCGACAAGGCGGCGCGGCCGGTAAACCGGCCTTACGGCTCTGCTGGGCCGTCACAGTACCTGTCGTCGAGTGAGGTGGCCGCGACGCAGCGGTTGTCTAGGAACCGCACGGAGTACCAGATGCTCGTCCGCAATGTGATGAAGCTGATGCACCACCGCTTGCATTTTATGCAGTACCTGCATAAGGAGTTGGTGCACGAGGCCTATCTTGTGGAGGAGGCGAAGCTGCTTGGCGGTCGCGGCCATCGCTCGCGCAGTGCCTCTATGAGCCGACCGACAAGCATTTCCCCGCGTTCCCCGCGTCGCACGGCATACTCAAGTGTCGCGGAAGAGTCCGCGCGACTTCGCGAGATTGAAGGGCGCCTGCGTTCCGTCGAACAACTACAACGCGAGGCTGAAGAGGATCGAAAGGAGGCGCTGCGTCTACGCCATGAGGCGGAGAAGAAGATGGAGTCCATCCTACGCGACTCGGTGAGTGCGCCGTCGCAGAACTATGCCACATTAAACGCGGCGGAGCGGGCGAGGTACGACGCGTCCGTCCGTAGCCACAGTTCCCATGCGGCAGGTAAGAACCCGCCGTTCCCCAACGACAGCACGGATATGGCGTATGCGGCCCATCAAAGCAAAACGCGCGTCAGCGATGCATCGCGTGTGAGCCGACCCTTGACCCTGCTGAACGGAAATGGTCAAGTGGCGCTTGCGACGCAGCCGGGTTTGTACCCAGTCCTGTCCACGGAGGACCCCTCGCAGGTGGAGTACGCCACCGCCGTGCTGGATCGCTACATCTATGGCGATGAGTGGCATCTCTTGTACCCTGCGCGCGAGGAAGACGTGCGCTTCTGCGCCCTAACAGACATCTGCCTGATGCTCAAGCTGCCGCGCCGTCTCGTGACCGTCAGAACGATCTCCGTCGACCAGCCCGGGGTGCGCATCACGGCGGAGATTCACTACATCCGTGAACAGTTGCCGCGTGAGACGATAGAGCGCCGCTTCGCCACCCAGCCTTTCCTGTTCTTGAAACGACTCTACGAGCTGCGCCACTGCTTTCCCGCCTCTGCCACCGCCGGCACGGCCAACCGCGGCGCCCGACGCGGGTCAAAGGGCGGCTCGCGGGTGCGGGCGCTGCAGGGGAATCGCAGTAACTCGCCATCCTACCTGCGCTCCGCCGACGACGACGCTGGGACGTTGCGAAGCGACAGTGTCATGACGGAGGACAGCAGGGCGGGCACAAATAGCCGGATGCGGGAATTGGAGCGGCTGACGCAGGATCGCCTGCGCCAGCGCCAACAGGACCGCGGCAGCGAGCGCGGGCGCAAGCAGCGGGACCTGCAACGGGAGCAGCTGCAAGAGCAATTGGACCAATTGGAGCGGGATGAGGCCTCGCGGCGCAGTAGACTTGTCCTCTCCGAGGCGGAGGAGCGCCTCAACGCGAACGGTGGCAGGGGCGGGGGCCATCAGCTTCAGAGCCGCTCCCTCGCCGTGCAGCAGCGCGTACTGGAGGGGGAAGAGCAGGTGGAGCGTGCGAAGGTGGAGGCCGGCTACGCGCGGCAGATGCAGGCGATGGGTCGGGCCCAGCATCGCAACCTGGCGCCCGTACGCCTGTTGACGCAGGAGCGCGAGCGGCGGCTGCGTGTGGCGGCGCAGGAGCGCGAGGATCGCCGGTTGCTGGATCTCATGATGAACCCACGGCGCCTGCGGGCGGCTGCGTCGCAGCCGGAGGTGGATGAGCAGTCCTGCCGCCAGCGTCTCACGGAGGCCGAGGCGAAGCAGCGGCGGCACATTTACGCCAACGTGCGCAGCTTCCTCATGGAGGCGCTGCAGGAGGAGGTGGAGGGGCTCATCGGGGATGAGCGGACGGCGCGCATGATCCTGGCGGCGGATGAGATGCGGGAGCGGCTGGATCTTGTTTGCACCAGCAAGGCGCCCGTGTGCAGTGGTGTGCCGAGGACGTTGCTCGTCTCCCCAGAGGCGTGGCAGGCCCTCTTCGTGGAGGAGGTGGCGGAGCGTGCGCACTTTGTGAACGATGAGGGGCGTCGTCGCCGCCTGTTTCAGCGGGAGTACATCCTGACGACGGAGGATGCGGCGCGAAACGAGATTGAGCTCCGGGAGCTTGACGAGCATGCCCTCATGCTAGAGAGCATCATGCACCGCAACCGCGCCATGCTGGAGCGGCGCCGGCAGGAGCGCAAGGACGCGACCAACCTGAGCAACGAGGAGCAGTACTACCGCAAGGGGACCCTCAGCGAGGAGCACGATGGGTGGGAGGTGCTCATGGAGTTGTTCGACACGGGCTTAAGTGAGTTACTTGCCAGGGAGGCGGCCCGCCTGGCCGCGGCGGTCGCGGTACCGGAGCTTGAGAGCCCGCAGCGCCGCCGCCGCACGACGGTCACCCCGCGTGTGACGAAGCCGTTTCACTACATGACGTTTCTGCCGGAGGACATGGACCACCTGCCCAGCTCCAGCCTTGCCATCGAGGGCATCTTGGGCTGCAGCGTTAACAAGAACCTCGAGGTCACCAGCATCGAACGCCCGCTGCCGAAGGTGGAGGAGGACGAGCTGCAGTTCCAGGCGGGCGACATGATTCTTGACGTCGCCGGCTACTCGCTGCACTCCCTCTCGCACCTGCGGGAGGTGCTGTCGAACCGCACGATGCAGATCCAACACGAGGCCCGCGAGGAGTTTCCGGATTTGCCGGAGGAGGAGCTCACCGTCAACCCGGCCCTGCAGAAGTACCTCGACGTCCTCTGCGAGCACCACAACTTCCTCGTGCAGGTGCTGCGCGGCTGCGACATCTTCCAAATCATCGTCAAGTCGTGAGGCCGGTCCGGGAGAAGGCGGTGCCGCGCCGCACGTAGAACTCTCTGAGGAGCGGGAGGGGGTTTTGGGTGGGGTGGGGGGGGGGGCGACGCGCGAGGGGATGCCGCGGCGGCTGCTCCCTCCCGCAGGGCCGCACGAATGCGTGCGGGGCGCCGCAAGTGGCAGTGCAGGAGCAGAGAAGCAAAAAAAAAAATAATAACAATAAAAATAATAGTGAAACAAAAAACAAAAACGATGGCCCGTCCCCTCACCGCCAGGATGAGAAGAAAACAAAAGGAAGAGGGTGTAGAGGGGGCGAGGAAGCAAAAGAAAAAGAAGAAGAAGAAACCGCGTGAAGGGGAGTTTGGGGGGAGCGGGAGCGGGGGGTGCCGACTGTATTTATTAGAGCGGGAGGAGTAACAGGAAAAAAACAAAAAAGAAGGTAAAACGGAAATGCGTAGGACGTGTGATGGAGGAAAAGAAGCGAGAGAGGAGAGAGAGAGAGGAGGAAGGAAATAAAAAGGGATGTGCCCGCAGCTGCGCGGAGGAAAAGGCAAACGGGCGCCAGCGAAGCGCCGGGGCGGACAAAAACAACCAACCGGAAGAAGAGGCGAGGCCCAACAAAACCGCAGGGGCGGGAAGCCCTCAGCCAGACAAGCGACAGTGGGGCAGAAATAAAAGTGGCCAGGGCCGGGAGAAGGGGGTGGGGGGGGGAAAGAAGGAAAAAAGGAAAAGAAAAAAAAAAGGCGTCAGCGGGGCAAATGTATTCCGGAAAAAGAACAACAGTACCGACGGCGAACTAAAGCAACGGCAGCGAAAGGAGGGGGAGATAAAGTTGGATGATGATGCTGGTGATGGGTGGGAAAAGATATTGTTTGATGATGTTGGCTCGCGTGCCTCCTTGGGGCAATGATTCGTTTTTTTTTTGTCCCCTCTGTTTTTTTTTTATTTGACTTCTTCCACCGGTGTTTTTGTTTTGTTTTTGTTTTATTGTCTACTTTTTTTTTGCCGTTTCGTCTTGTTTCACTCCTTCTATCATGCACACACCAGCTATTACCTGATGCGGTATGTATATATTATTATCTGTATCCATGTATAGACCTGTAGTGGCGACAACCTCATCTAGCACGCTCTGTAGTGTACCTCCGTGTTCCCTCCCTCCCTCCCTCTGTGTGGGTGTGTGCGGCTGCCAGCTGTGCATCGATAGAAAAACAACAACGACAAGGAAGAAGTCACACCTGGAGAGTTTGGTGACTCTGTGTGTGTGTGTGTGCGTGAGTGAGGCATGGACTGGGCATCATAGTCGTAGCACGACACTTCTCTTTCCTTTTCTTTTCCTGTTTGTTTGTTTTTTCTTCCCATTTTGGGTTTGCCGCTGCCGTCTGCATGACTTTTGTTCTTCCTTTTGTGCTGGTGGCGGTGGTCGTTGTTTCCCTCACTCCTTCGCTCTTCCTCTCGCCTGTGTAGAGTACGGCGACGAGTGCCGAGGGAGGTGCACAGCCGTAGAACTGCGCGTGTATATTTCTGTGCGGGTGCCGTGGCCCTGAGCATCATTGTGCGCAAAAGGAAAAGAAAAGAAAAAAGAAAAGAAAAATAAACTAAAAGAAGAGGAAAAATGAAATTGTTAGCACTATACCTGGGCGATTTAGGGGTTTCCCGTTTTTTTTTCTTTCTTTCCTTTTTATTTACCTATTTTTTTCCCCCCCCCTACCCCCGCCCCCTCCCCCTTTTGCGTTTGTTCGTTTGTTTGCTTGCGTGTGTCTTGTTTGCTGTACCTTTTCGGCTTTGCGGCGCGGCACCGCTGTTGTTGTTGTTTTTTTTTTCATTTTTGTGTACGTGCGTGAGGAGGACACGCGCGGATGAGTGAACTGCGGAGGGCCGCGCAGAGGGGAGGGCGGGCGGGCGGAACTACATACATTTTGGGCATCTGCGCCACCGCGTGTAGGGAGGGGGAGCGGCGTTTCTTTGCCCGCCAGCTACGGTCCCCAATGACAGTGCAAGGGGAGCTTTTCAGCGGGATGCGTTTGGTGGATTTTTACCTTGAGAGAGGTATATGCCCGTATGTGTATCTACCACGCCTGTGTGCCTGCATGCGGGCGGATGCGTGCGCATGTTTTTTTTTGTTTGTTTTTTTGGTTTTGTTCTTGTCTTCCTCTTGTTAGTTTGCCGCCCCGTCTCTGCGGCCCGCCGGCGCTGCTCGCCTGTGCGTGGTGGAGTGGGCCCCTGCTGTGCAGCTCGCGCGAATCTCCGCCGCCCAGGCGGGGCGGCAGGGCGGAAGTGGCGCAAACACACAAGCAGAAGAAGGAAAAACCGAAAAAACAAACAAACAAACAAACGGACAAAAGTTCCCCTCACGTTTTGGGGCGAGGAGGTACCAATCGGCGTTCCGCTTTTTCTCTTGTTTTTTCTTTTTGAAGAAAAACATTCCTGCGCGCAAGTGCAGAAGAAGAAGCCTCCTTTTTTTTTTTTTTTTCCTGCGGCTCCTCACACACGCACTTCCTCCCGCCCTGCCTCGCTCTCGCCGCCAACCCCGACGGCAGTTCAGCGGAGTCGCGTGGAGCAGGCAGCAGGATTTGTCTGCCGCGCGGGTTGCTCAAGCCGCCCACGACGAGCATGCGTGGCACCGCCGTAGAGCCGTAGATGCAGCGCAGCGTGTCAGGCGATGTGGTGAGTGACCTTTCGACGGCCTCTCCTGAGGCGGCGCTGCGGCGTCGGCCGCTCTTCACGCTGGGGTGGGAGACGGTGCTGGCGGAGGAAGGCGCTGCGCAGACCGCCGCCACGCTCCTCCATGACGACGACGGTGGGATGCCTGCAGTGGGCGGGGAAGCCGACAGTGGAGAGCAGGCTGCCTTAAACGGCCGCGCTGCGGCGGCGGCGCAAGCAGCCACGGTGGAGGAGGTGCAGCGCAGGGCTGCGTGGGGCGTGCTGCGGCGCGTGGACGCTCCAGCGGCGGGCAATGTGTTTGCCCCCACTGCAGAGGCGGCGGTGCGGGCGGAAGTAAGGTGGTGGACTCCTCCCGTGACGCCCCACAGACCTACGCCCGCGGCGTCCCCGCCGGCCTGGACGCGGCCGTCATTTGTGGGGGACGGCCCCCCGCCTCAGCCTTCCGCGCGGGCTGGGGGCGTGATTCAGCTGCAGGAGGTGTTCCCCGCCATCGGGGGACGGCGCCGGCGCCGCGTAGGGGGGGCAGGCGCCAGCGGAGGCGACACCGCGGACCGGTGGCTCCGTGAGCCGCAGGAGGTCGGGGCGGTGGGGCCAGGCGCGTGGGAGCTGGAGCGTTTCCTCCCAGGCGGCCCCGGGCAGGGGTCAGCACGCGTCGTGGACGACGTTCAGGCCGCGATCACCACGGCGGAGCGAGGGGAGGAGACATCCCCGGCGTCGGAGGAGGAGCGAAGCACCTTTTCCTGGCAGGAGCTCATGCAGGCAGTCGGGAGGCGCGATATCGAGGAGGCGGTGATGGGAGGAAGAAGAAGAGAGGAAGCTCTACAGGCAAGGGAGGCGTCAGAGCCGCGCCAGCTGCACTGGCCTCAGGAGGAGCCGAGGTATAGTGGAGAGGGCCCAGTGCTCCTGCAGCGAGAAAAAATAGCAGCGGACGCAGAGGCCGTTGGGGAGATGCAAAGAAGAGCACGGGAGTTGGCGCATCGCGTGTTAATGGCGGAGCGTGCGCTTGCTGAGGAGCGCGCGGAGTGTGCCGCGCTGCGCGAGGACCTGGCTCGCTGCCTGGAGGCGGTCGAGCTGCCGCTGCAGGCAAACATGAACGCTTTGCGTGAGTTGCGGTCCGAGAACAGGCGCCTTTCTCGCTGGCTTGGGTTATGAATGTGTATGTGTGTGTGTGTGTCTGTGCGTGTGGGTGCCTGCAAGGGGTTGGGGTGTAGCGCGTGTGTGGCTTCGGAGCAGGAGGGAGGAACGGCACGCAGCGCGAGATAGAGAAGGAGAGGGAGGGATGGAAAAAAAAAAGAGATCGCAGAGAGGAATACCAGCGAAAGACACACTGATGCATGCTTTTTATTTCTACGCAGTTATTATTAATATTGTTATTATTACTTTCGACTCTCTGTCTCCCTCTGTGTCTGTCTGTGTGTGTGTGCGTGTGTGTGGACACTATCGCCTTGGGCGTTTGACGCGCACAGCTGCGCGTGGGCCGACGCCCGGTCGCGCGGTTACTCACGAATGCGACGCAACGTAGGCCGCTGGAGGCGACCCGTGAACAGGCGGCTGTTTCTGCTGCTGCTGCTCACGCTGCTCAACTTGGCCGTCTTTCGCTTCACGGCGCGGCATGACGGAGGGGAGGCCGCGCCGCAGCAGCAGCAACCGCAGCAGCAGCAACCGCAGCAGCAGCAACCGCAGCAGCAGCAACCGCAAGCAGCCGTCGACGGCGCGCTCCGCCGCCTCACCGTTGCCGGGGTGCCAGCGCCTGGACACGCGCCCGCTGCTTCCGCCGCGGCCCAGCCTCTTTCCCGCGGGATTCGCCGAGGAGCGGTGGTCCTCGGCCCGTGCGCAGTACGCGGCGCTGCTGCAGCGGACGGTGGGCCCCGTGACGCAGGGCATGACCAACTTCAAGGACTTCCAAACCTACGAGCACCACGGCGTGCTGCTGCCGATGCTTCCAAACAGTAGTGGCGGGGGCGGGGTGCCCGGCGTGGAGTCTGGCGCCACGCCGCTGTTGTCTGCCGCGCTCGCCGACTGCTACGCAAAAGAATCACGCCTCGCCGAGTACAAACCAGACACCTATAACTGGCTGAGGACGCGCGTCGGCTCTGTCGAGTTCTGCGACCCAGCAGACGCGGACTACACTCCAAGCAAAGATGTTGCCTGTTTGGCGTACCTTCGAAACCCTGCCAACTGGCTGGCCCTGAAGCCCCTCTCGAGTTTGCTCGCCTCAGGGCGCACCATCAAGTTTCTGCTCTCCTTTCGTCACGGCAACGTCACGGCGGTGGTGAAGCTTCCCCAGAAGAAGTTTGAACTGGAGCCTGCGAGCGAGACAGTGGCGTTTCACATGGATCGCGTTCTCGGCTTTCGGCGCGTCCCGCCAACGGCGTGGGTGCAGATCCCTGTCGATTACATCAAGGCCGCCGCCGCCTCACTTGGCCTGTTCTACGCGCACTGGGTGGAGTCCGCGGTGTTCACGTTGAAGCGGGCGAAGGCGGTCACCTCGCGGTGCGAAGACGCACGCCTCAGGAACGTGCTTGGTGGGCCAGGCCCAAAGTGCATTCTGGCCTCTGTGCAGCTTTGGATGTGGGACGTGCATCTGGTGGAGCAAACCTCCTTTGCGCGTCACATGCCGCGTTTACCTGCGAAACGCAGGGGGCCTGGCGGCAGAAAGTCGGGCCTCAAATTCGCTCCCGATGCTGCGGAGGATGACTGGATGGAGAAGATTCTTGGCAGTGCCCAGACCCGCGCTGGCGGAGGCGGGACGCCGCCGTCGCCGGATCTGCTGGCGCGGGAGCGTTGGGACCAAATGGCCTTCGACGCCATTATTGCCAACTACGATCGTTGGCAGGGGCACAACAGCTACGTGCTCGCTGCCTGCAACCCCACGCTGCCGTGCCACGCCGCACAGGCCAGGCGCCTGTACGAGCGGCCCTCCAGGAGCACTCCGCGGTTTATCTACGTGGATCAGGGCAGCAGCTTTTATCGCGAGGGGGTTCGAAGCTCGAGCGTCTTTGCTCCATCCCACCAGCCACGGTTTTGCCACGTTAACCGAGCCACGGTTGAGCGCCTTGAGCAGATTGCTCTTTTTGCTATGCGCTTGAGCTATGGGGGCGTCCCCGCCAGTGGCGGGGTGCCCCGCATCGCGTCCGTGGTGAATGGCACAGTCGCCAAGGAGGAGGCGAAACGGGCGGGGGAGGCCATCTGCGTGCGCCTGCTGCTGCCGCGGCTGCCGCCGAAGATTGGGGTGGTGCTGCCCCATTCTCTCATCCACGCGGCGTGCCGGCGCGTGTGGTCCATCCTCGCCCACCGCACTCGGTGCCTGGAGGCAAACGAGAGCACAGGGCTCTACTTCTGACGCGGTGCGGTGCGGCATTCGCCGCTTTTCCTTTCTTTTTCCCTTCCTCTTTTTTTTCGCGGGCCAGCACCCACCCACCCACACAGAGAGAGAGAGAGACCGACACCCTCGCGCGCTGGGAATGGGGCGGAATCCCATCTCTCTCTGCCTATGCTTCAGTGGCCCCGGTCTTCTACTCTCGCACTGCGTGCGTGCACGGTGGGGCGGAATGCAACTTGTGCGCCGTGCTGTTTTTTTTGTCTTTTTTTTACACTTCCTCGTGTTCTTCTCTCTTGGGTGGATGGGCGCAGGAATAGGGTAGCAGCATCTTGCGGACAACGGGGAAGTGCCGCACAGGGGGACAAAAGACCAACCAGCAGCAGCAGCAGCGGCAGCGACGGCGAAATGACTCTGCGCGAGGATGAGGTGACAGTCGTCCCCGCGGCGCCGTTTCAGCATTGCGGGTGGCACATGTATGAGGGGCAGACGGAGGCCAAAGAGGAGGTGCGCCGTGCCGCGGGGGGCGACGTCAACAGCGACGGAGGCGGCAGCCACGGCGCGGAGGGCGCGGGCGTCAGGGACGCGTCTCCGCTGTGCCATTTGAACGAGCAGCAGGAGCAGGAGAAACAACAGCAGGAGCAGGAGCAGCAGGAGCAGCAGGAGCAGCAGGAGCAGCAGGAGCAGCAGGGCGCCTTCACGGAGAAGTTTCTGCGGCGACGGGAGGTGTTGGCCCTGCAGGAGCTTCTGGCGGAGGTGCGGGCCCTGATGCACGGCTGCTGCCTGCCCGCGATGGACGTGGAGGTGATTGAGGCGCACCTCATCGTCCCCGTGGAGCGCGCGGCGAGGAGGCCGGCGGCGACGCCGGCAAGCCAGTCGTCAATGGAGGCAGCACGCGCCCACAAGACGCCGGCGACGGCGCGCCCACAAGACGCCTGCGGCGTCCGCAGCGTGGGCAAAAACGGCGGCTCCTCCGCAGACATCCCACCAGCCCCCTTGCAGGGCTCTGCGTCGGTCTCACCCGCGACGACGGTGTGCAAACCTGCGGGCGCCGTCGCCCGCCAAGACGCGGGGGGCCGGCACGCGGGAAGGCAGCGTTCGCCCGAGGCGAGAATGGGGCGCGTGCATGCGCCTAACCGTGCCAACGGCTCTGCGGCGAAGCGGGCGGCAGGGACACTCGAAGGAAAGCGACACTTGTCGGCGGAGCCCACTGCCACGGCCAGCGACAGCGATGCCGGCCGCGTGGGAGACGCGGGGCTGCGGGAAACCGCCGTGACGGACATGATGCAGCTGCGCTGGCTGCTTCATCGGCACATGGCCCGCACGCTCGCCGTGCTGGCCGCAGTGGACCAGCGGGAGACGATCATGTCCGAGCTGCGAGAGTTTTTGGCGATGGCCGCGGCAGAGCTCCACATCAAGGGGGCCTCCGGCGACGGCGGTGGCTCCGGCAGCGAAAACGCAGCGCAAGGGTGTCTCTCGCGCAGTGGCTCGGTGCGGCCGTGGGCGACGCAGGCGCGGCCGAACCCGCGGTTGCTGTCGCCGTGGCCCCTGCTCGACTCGCCGCCCCCGCCGGCCTCCGTGCGTCCCCGGCGCCCCGCATCCTCCACCGCTCAGGCCACCGTGGGCATCCCACGCGTTGGCACGGCGGTGTTGCAGCGGCGCTACTACCGCCGTGGAGTGCTGTACTTTATGCGGGAGCTGCAGGAGGTCTCCGTGGCGCTCCTGAAGGCCGTGCGGCAATGGCGGGAGATGCTCAGCGGCAGCTACCCGTTTGTCGTCAAGGGGAACAACTACCTGCTCCAGATGACTCTCGAGATGGCGGAGCTTGCGCAGGAGCCCGTGCTGCGGAGGCTTTTCCCATCGCGCGCCGGGGCGGGCAAAGGCGCGGCGGCAAACATGGACGCCTCCGACGTCGACCCGGAGACCGTCGCGTTCCCCGACTCCCTGCAGTACTGCCCGCTTCTCTCGAACATGCCGAACCTGACGGAGTACACCAAGCCACCGGCGCGGCCCGCCAGCGGCGCCACGCCGGCGCCCGCGGAGTGGGGCGAGAGGGATGCCGAAGATGAAATAGACCGCCTCCAGTCCCCGACGCAGGCGTCGCACGCCGCTGGCGTTTGTCGGAGGCACAGGCCGACAGGGAAGGGCGCCGTGGCTGACGTTGCGTACACACGTCGCGTCTGCGCTGCGGAGGCCGCCCTCCATCGGGAGCTGCCTGTTCAGCTGCAGCTACTTCGGCGCAGCCTCGTTTCCTGCGCGGAGGGGCGCTACCCGCTGCTGCTGCGCGGCGTCGGCGAGATGTGCGGCTCCCGCGACAAGATGGTGCGGCTGCGGTCCCGCCATCGGCAACGCGAGTGGTACTGGCGCCTGCACGACATGCTCTCCTGCCTGGAGGCGGGGAGCGCTGCGGTTTGTAAGGAGTAGCACGAGACTTTATTTGTTTGCTTTGCTTTTTTCTTTTGTCTTTTGCTGAGCGTTTCCGCCGTCCCATGGAAGGGGACATCGTCGCCCCCTCCCCCCACACACACACACACCCGCCGCCGCCGCGGCGTCTACGCGGCCCCGCCGTTCATGTGGGCGACGGCGCGGCGGGTGGACACGTGCACGCATACATACATTTGTTTTTGTTTTATTTATTTGTTTGAGGAGGGGACGCTGCCTCCGCCCTCCACTACCCCGGAAGACGTGAGAGGATGACCGCACGAGGAAGAAGAATAAGAAAACAAAAAAAGGGGGGGGGAAAGAACCAAGAAGAAGAACAAAAAAAAAAGATGCGGGAGTAAAACACCGCAGCACCAGGGTGGAGGTGCGTGAGGAGGAGGAGGAGGCGAGCGCGGGTGCGGGCGCCTGTGTGTATAATCTATTGGCTGAGGCTGTGGGGCGGAGGCGATGGCTGCGAGTGCGATGCAACAGATGGTGCGACCGACGGTGCGGTCGCCGCACCACACACACACACACACAGCTGGTTCCTCTTTCTCCTCTTCACCCCGCTCTTTCCAGGGGTTCTCCTCCCCCTTTCCGTCTTCCCATAAACGCACACAGCGCACGCGCCTGCACCCAGATATATATAAATATATATACATACGTGTAAATACGGCGTTTGGTTAGTAGTTTTCACCTGCGGGCCTTGGCGGCTGCTCGAGATGCTGAGCACGTTTGCCTTGTTCGTGTACGGCTGGATTCTCGGCACCTTCGCCGTGCCGCTGTGCTACCTCTACGGCCTCGAAAGACTCACACTGCTTGTGCAGTACAGCAGCAGGATCCTGCTCTCCCTCTACGTGCGCCTCTCTGGCCAAGACGTCGTCCTCACCCACTTCAGGCGGCCCAACTACCACGAGAGCGCCATCAGCAACACCTCGATGAGCACGCTGGACGCGATGGAGCCGGCGCCATCCCTGTCGGAGGCGACGGGCGTTTCTTCCGTGCGGCACACGGCGGTCTGCCACATTTTTTACCCGAGAGCAGGCAATGTTTTTGGCACCGTGTACGACTGCCGCTTGGTGCTGAACGACAAGCACCTGCTGGTGTACCAGGTGCAGGGCTCGCACGGGTTGGGCAGCCACGAGCGCATCATTACGTCTGAGCGACTGCAGGGTCGTGTGCGGGTCGACCGCATCGTTGTGCAGCCCTCCTTTATGCCGCACAGCGGCCGTCGCGGGGCGGGGGCGTTGCAAGGTCACGTGCTGCACATCCGCGCCTGCGACGGCGGACCCCTCTTTGAGGAGGACGGGGACGCGCTGGAGGAGTCCATGTCAGAGACGCTCCGCTCCACGCGCAGCGGGGGCGTCGCGAGCGGCGGCCGCGCAAAACACCCGAAAGGCCAAGTGGAGGATAACAGCGTCGCCGGCTTGAGCGCCACCGGCGGCCCCGGCAGCGTCGACAGCAGCGGCAAGGCGCCCGGGTCGTCTGGAGGCGCCGACAGCGAGGCGGACTGCCGCTCCGACGCCAGGTACACCGTCGTTGTCAAGTTCTACTACCTGCGGGAGCAGGAGCGGTGGCAGACGCTGCTCGAGGGTCCGCAGGAGGCCGCCCGCTGGCGGGCCTACCTCCGCACCGTCACCACACCCGACTCGTTCAACCTCGTGCTCACGCGGCTGCTGCGACAGAACATGCGCACGACGGCGCTGGCCAACTTCATTGGCGCCCAGCTGCAGAAAAAGTTTGATCAGCTGAGCGTGAGGAAGTTCCCACGCGAGATTGAGGGGCGCATCATCCTCGACGACTTCCTCATCGGGGAGGAGGTGCCCATCTTCAGCAACGTCTCCGCGCCGAGGCTGGTGGCCAACGGGGAGATGGTGTTTGACTTTGACCTGCTCTACCGCGGCGGGGCCACGCTGTGCCTGCGGCTCAATCTCACCTACCGCGGCTTCCGCATCCCGCACGTGGTGTTCTCCATCAAGATCCTGTACCTCGCGGTGCGGGTGCGGGTGAGCGTGGGGCCGCCGCCCAGCAAGAAGTTTTGGCTCGGCGGCCTCTCCCCCCCCGACCTTCGCGTGGAGATGCACCAGGGCATCCAGTCCGGCCGCGGCCTGCTGCACCGCATCCTCACCTCCCTGCCCGACCTCAGCTCCATCGCCTCCAACCTCCTCAAGCTGTACCTCATCTACGACATGGGGCTCCCCGCGCTGGACGACTTCCCGCTGCCGAGCGTCGAAAAGACGCCGCCGCCGTCGCCGCAGCGGGCCACGCGGAAGGCGTGGGACACCCGCTTCAGCCGCCGCCGCGCCGCCGCGCACGGCCGCGGCCACGTCAACGCCGCGCCAACGGCGGCCGCCAGCTCCGGCCGCGTCACGCCTCCCGCGACGAGCCTCCCGGCCCCCGTCGCGGCGGACTCACCCCAAATCGTCCGGAGCAGCGAAAACAGCACCAACGACCTCAACTTTGGCACTACCACGACCCCGAGCTTCACCCGCAGCGGCAACCGGGACGGCTCCTTCTCTCTCGCCCCCGTCTCTCAGCTGTCACCGAACTCAGAGGACGCGCGGAGGCTGCGGCTAAAATTAAAGGCGCGTGAACTGATGCGGAAGGCTGTGAGGCGCGTCACTGGAGTGCCTGACTTTCACGCCAAGGGTTCTTCGTAGGAAGAAAGAAGCGCTTAGGCGCCGTTCCAAAGGCGGGCGCGGAGGTATTTCCCTCCTCTTCTCTATTCTGCTGCATGCAGGCCCGCTCCAGGTGCGGAATTGCACTTAATCCCCATGGCAGTGTGTCCCCGACCAGCGTGAAGTGCCTTTTTTTTTTTTCTTCTGCTGCCGTTGGGGTTGTTTTTGGCTGCCAACGCGGACTTCCCGCGCCTCGATGCGTCGGGCCTCGGGGGAAGACAAGTGCGAGAGAGACAAAAAACAAAATAAAAACGGTAAAGAAAAAAAAACGACAGCAACACAAGAGAGGACAACACGCACTTGTTTTTCTTATATATATATATAATTTCTATGTGTGTGTGTTCAGTAGCTCCCGCCTTGGAGGGGGGCGGCAGGTGGGAGGGCCAGTCCACCGTTGCTATTGTTGTGCTTGCTTGTAATGTACGTGGCGGCGCGGGGAGTGTCGCTGCGTGGCGGCCGCCGGCTGCGCGTGCGACGTCACCCGTCGAGAGGATGGGATCCCTTGCGACACGTGTTTTCCCCCCTCGCGCCCTTGCCCAAAGGGGAGCGGGGGCAGCCCCAAAAGGGAAAACGGTGGCGGTCCCAGTGGGAGTTTATTGCAAGTCAAACGAAACGGGCGAGGGGTGTGCGGATCGTGCCGGGTGCGTGCGTCTTTGCTTCCCTCCGTGTGGGTTCGCGGCGGCGGGGTGGTGGTGAAGGGGGTTCCCTTCACTGGTTGCCGTGTCGTCTTTACGTCCACTCTGCTTCTCCCTTTTTCTCTTTCTTCTCCAAACGCGCAGCTGAATAGGGCTCTGCGGCCGCGCGCGGAAGTCTGTCATTACCCCCTCTTCCAACTCGCGGCGCGCCATCGCTGCCCCGGCAGCAGTTGGGACTGGGAGGTTCGTTGAAGGCCAGCGCCTGCAGAGCGGGGAAACAGTGGGGGACACGCAACGGAAACAGGCATATATATATAGAGAAAGAGAGAGAAAGTGAGAGGCAGAGACAGACACAGACACGGAGCCAGAGAGTGGCCGGGGCAGACACCCCACCCACATACTGGCGGACACACAACACACTAGCGATGACGTCGTGGGTGCCGTTTCTCTGCGGCATCGCTGGGGGGGCGGCAACGACGCTCTTCTTTCTGTCCTTCCTCTTCCTCAAGCTGGAGCAGTTGCTGGCGCGCGTGGTTGGGCGCAAGGAGGCGCGGCTCCGACGGCGCGTCGCGACGGTCGCCAGCGGGGAGGCCTCCCTCTGGAAGGTGGAGGAGATATGCCGCATGGCGCGCTACGACGGCGACATCATGGGCCCAGTTATTCTTGTCCGAGCCGTGCTGTTTGGCAAAACTATTTCTGTGTACCGGATTGACCGCAGCCACAGGTCGGACGACGGCGACCACACGATCATCGAGGCGGAGCACCTGATTGGGAAGATCAACGCCGCCACTGTGACGAGCACGTCGGAGAAGCTGTCCAAGTACCACCGCCACACGGACACCACCACGCGGCAGGCGCCACTGCGGGGAAAGTGCCTTATACTGCGCCGCAAGGAGGGACAGCCGCTCTTCCAGGAGGACCCGGTGTTGCAGCTTTCGCGCCAGCAGCGGCGCCAGCAACGACAACAGGAGGAGGAGGAGGCGGCGAAAAGGCGCGACCACCCACACCACCACCGGCACCACCAGCACCGTCATCGTGTCGACGACCACGGGGTCGGAGAGGGCGGTTCTGCTGAGGGCGGCGGCGAGGCGCAGAGGGGCGACGTCGACAGCGACGAAAACGGCCTCATGCGGCCGGGCGCCTTGGACCTCGACGAGCTGGACAACGATGAGTCCTTTGACGCCTGGACGGCGGTGCTGTTTAAGTTCCCCACCCGGCGTGAGCTGGAGCGTTGGTACAACCTGCTTCAGGCCACCCCTCAGTCCGAGGAGTGGCGCGTGTTTATCAAGCACCTCCCTTCCCTCGACGCCTTTAACCTCGTCGTGGCCCGCCTGTTTTTTGAAAACACGCGAACCAGCGGGCTGCAGGATCTTCTGATTGGAAAAATACGACGAAAGCTGCGACGGGTGTCATGCAAACTTCCAAAGCACATCCACGGAGAAATTTTACTGACGCAGCTCGAGCTCGGGGGCGAGATTCCGTTAATTCGCGGGGTTGGCGAGCCGACCGTCTCCCCCAACGGGGAGGTGGAGCTGGACTTTGACTTTTTGTACCGTGGCGGGTTGAAGTTAGGCCTGCGCTTTGCCATCACCTTCCGCGGGGTGCGGGTGCCGGACATTATATTCAACATCAAAATACTGGAACTCTCCAGTCACATGCGGCTGAGCGTGGGGCCACCGCCGTCCGCCAAAATTTGGGTTGGCGCCCCACGCCCGCCGCAGCTGCGGCTGGAGTTCGCGCAGGAGGTGGCCTCACACGACGGAATCCTGAACGCCGTGCTGAAGCTCATGCCAGACATGAGTGACTTCGCGTCCAACGTCGTGAAGGTCATGCTCTTCGAGGACATGGTGCTGCCCTCCATGGAGGACCTCCCGCTGCCCTGCTTCAGCTACTCCCCCCCTCCTCGGAGGAGGGCTCGCCGCTGCTTGACGAGAACAGCGAGAGCTCCTTTGCGCTGGACGGCGCCACGACGCAGGGCGCGGACTCCACCTTTTCCACCTTTGCCACCACCTCCGGTGGGGCGAAGACACCCACGGTCGCCGATGCTGGGCCGCCGCTGCCGCTCTCCCCGGGCGGAGCGGTGTACCCGGCGCTGTCGCCGGAGCTGGCGCCGAGCTTCGCGTCGTCCGCCTCGCCCTCCTCGCGGGGGGAGGCGGACTCGCTCGCCGGCGAGCCACGGCGCGGCGCGGGGGTCCCGCCCCTCAAGAGCCTTGTGAATCGGATGAAGAAGCGGGCCAGTAAACTGTTCCGCCAGGCAGCGGAGAGAGTGAACGGTGAATGCAGAGAGAAACAGGAGTAGACGGTAATAAAATTGCTCTCCCCCTGCAAGCCTCCACCCATTTGCCTTCGCCCCCACGAAGGCAAGAAAAAAAAAACCCTCAATATTGCCAACGAAACAGCGGAGACAACGACAATAAATATACTCCTCTGCCTACCATTCCTACGTGTGTTTTTTTTTAAATTTATTCACTTTTGTTGTCTCTGTCGCTGCTGCTCGTCCTCTTGGTCTTAGTGGATTAAAGACGTTTTAAAGCCTCTGGGCTGTGTGGCCTATGTACTGCTCCCGCGCTTATGTTTTTCTGCTCTCTTTTGAATTTCTGTGTGGCGCCCCTGCGCTGCCGCTCGCCGGGAATGTTGTGGTGGTGAGCTGCAATGGGTGCTCCCACGTCTTCTGCTGCTCGCGTTGCGCTGTGGCAGGCGCCGAGCTCTGGCGCTGATGCTCGTGAAGTAGCCTGGAACTCACTGGGCGCCTTTCCCTTCGTCCCCCCGCGTCCTCCTTCATGCCCACACCAAAGTATATACGTATGCGTGTGCGTCTGTGTCTGTGCACGTAAAATTTTTTTTTTCGTTGTGTGTGTGTGTGAATATATGCAATGTGTGCATGCCACTTTGCTTCCTCGTCGTGTTTTGTTGCTGAAGGTGTGGGCTGGCCGTTGGCGAGCGTGTCCCCCGGCTGCTCGTGTTACCACCTACCGAGGGCAGCTGGCGCTACGAACAGGCATCCAGGTATATTGATACAGTGGGAATGCCGCCGCCTCCGCCGCCGCCGCCGCCGATGCGTTTTGTGCCGGGCAGGAGGGAGGGCGGAGGCGCACGAAGTTCCACGGAGGCGAGGGAGCCGCGCTTTGAGGTGCTCGAGGGCTCCAGCTTCACGCAGGCGGGAGGTAACAGCGGCGCGTCCGCGTCTGCAGGGCGTTCAGGGCTGCTGGTGCAGCCACAGCACCTCGAGGCTGCAGCGTCCATGAACGACTCTGGCGTCAATAGGCTTCACGGTGCCTCTCCCCCGCCCGCGTTCGCTTCCGCCCTCAGCGTGTCGTCGCCGCAGGCCTCCTCCTCCCCCTCCTCCTCCTCGCAGCAGGTGGCGCAGCTGTGGCGACTCGTGCAGGACCTCACCGCCGAAAACGCCGTCCTGCAGCAGCGGGTGCGGGTGCTAATGGAGGGCGAAACCCGCGACGGCGCGCTGCCCGGCCTCCTCACTGCCCCCGCCTCCCCCGAGGAGACGGAGGCGCTGCTGCTGCGCGTGCGACGCCTGGAGGCGGCGCTGAAGGTGGAGGCGATGGAGCGCGAGGCGCTGGAGGTGCGGCTGCAGGCCCAAGAGCAGGTCCTGACGCGCCTGATACGGCGCTGACGCCCCGCCCCCGCCCCACAGTACTTCAGAAAGCAAAAAAAAAAAACAACAACGACAAAAGCAATAAGAACAGGAACAGGGGAAAGTGCGCGGTACGCGGACGCGCCTCCGCCTTCCCCGCGGTGCCGTCGTTGGGCGGAGGCATAGAGGCGGCTGCCGGAGCCGCGAGGCGAAGAAACGCAGGAGAAAACCACACGAGCCGGGAGGGTGTGGCGGGGGACCCCGCTGCCTCCTGCCTCCTGCCTCCTGCCTCCTGCCTCCTGCCTTCTGCCTCCTGCCTTCTGCCTCCTCGTCTTCTTTGGTCTCCTTCATTGCGGCTTCTTGCTTGATTTTTTGCCTAAATTTTTTATTTACTTATTGCAAAACGAATAACACTAATAATACACAATAAAATGAAGTTCTCGGCACCAAAAGAACGAATGTCGAACACACCCCGACTGACGTCACGCAACCTCTTCGACGCCGTATTCGCGACAATCCCGGCCGACGTGACACTCTACACAGGGCCAGACACACTGCGGGAGAAGTGTGCGCTGCTGGCAAGCAGACGCGCCGCCGCTGCTGCTGCCGCCGCCGCCGCCGGGGAGGAGGAAAACGGCGGCAACGGCGAGGAGGAGGCCTCACTGGAGGATGGATTTCTCCTGCAGTCCGCCGACGCACCCATGGGCGCGGGCGTCATGGACGTGGGTGCGATGATGCGCCGTGCGGCCGAGGCGACGGAGACGCAGGCGGTGGCGTCGCCGCTCGGCGGCACCTCCCCGCGGCACGTTCTCGATCTGAAGCTGGACGCCGACGATGAGGCGGTGCGGGAGGCGACAAAGTACGCCGCCCTCCTCGCGGCGGCAGCGGAGGTGGAGGAGGAGGAGGCGACCAAGGAAACCGCGACGGCGGAGTACGGAGGCAGAGAGAGCGGGGCGGGGGCGGCGAGCAGCCATGCGGCGTCGCGCGCAGGTCACCCTAGCCAGCGGCAAAAGCCGCAGCATCGGGAGGCGGCGGACGCGTCTAGGCGCCAGGCCCTCACCGCGGAGGAGCAGGTGGCCATCATGCGCCCGGAGGAGGGGACCCGGCACGAGGGCCGCTGCGTGCTCTTCCGCCACAGCAGGGGCTTCGGCTTTATTACTCCGGAACTGGGTGGCCCGGACGTCTACTTTACCCGCGACAGCGTCGAGTACTTCTTTACGCGTCGTGTCTTGCGGGCGTTTTACGGCGGCAGCCTTCCGGCAGTGCTGCGGCCGAGAGACGCCTCCCGACGGGGTGGCGGGGGCGACTGCAGGGCGAATTGGGGCACGGCAGTCTCCGTACTGGGGCCCTCTTCGACCGTCGCAGGCGCCCCGGCCAGCCACAACGCGGCTTCGCAGGCCCCGGGGGAGCCTGTGAAGGTCACAGCAGAGCCCAATGCAAAGGGCGACGCGGAGGCGGGGGACGCGATCGCCACGCACGACGCGGAAAAAAAACCGAGCGACGCAAGCAACACGACCTCTGAGGTCATTGACGACGTGGAGGCCAGGACCGATAGTCTGGTGCAGCAGGCAGCCGCGCTCCTCACGCCAGAGAAGGCGCGGCTTTTGTTGCTGTTTCTACAAGTTGGGAAACCCATTGTGTCGACGCCAGAAACCGTGACGTTCACGGCGCGGTGGAACCGTGCGGGGAGCCACGCGAATCGCCGGTTGCGGGCAGACGACATCCGCGGCCTGCCTGCTAACGGATATGCCTTGATGGTGGAGCAGGCCTGGTTTGAGCGCCTCTTCCCGCGCGCCTCCGGCCGCCGCGCGGAAGGGCGGGGTCGCGGCACTGTAGCAGGCGGCAGCAACGAATGCCTGGCGCGTCGTCGCGGGACGATTCGCATGTACGATTCGGATGAACTTCGCGGTGTTATACGCCCCGACGAAGCCGAGGCGCAGGGTGTGCTGTTTTACAACGACGCGTTCCTCTGGGACCCATCGATGGATCCGGCGCGCTGCCGACCTTCCGTGGGCCTTGTCGTGCGCTACTCCGTCGCCGGCCGCGATCGTCACGGCAAGGAGCTCGCCGCACTAATCACCGCCACCGACGACACCGCAATTAGCGAGGCAAACGCGGAATGGGCTACCGGCGGCGGTGCACAGGATCACGAAGGAAGAGAGCAGGGCGGAGCGGGTACTGCGACTGGCGGCGGCGGCAGCTCTGGCGCTGGAGGCGGCGGTGGTACTCGCGAGGAGGAAACCGCAGGGCGAAAGCGTCGGCGGGACGAGGAGCTCTTACTGTTGGAGGAAGATGACTATGGCATCATGTGACCTGCCGACGCCATTGCGACATCATTTGGATTGACAACTCTTCCGCGGGGCTTGCCAGACGGTCTTCTTCTCCTTTTACTTACTTCTCACTGGTTTAGCTCTGCTTTCCTATGCCATCCCTGCCCTGCTGTGCCACCAGGCAGGCTTGCTGGTTGGTGCTGGTGTTTGTCTTCCTTCCTTCCCTTCACTTTTACTGCTTCTGTGGGTGCTCCTTGCGCTGCACCTCTGTCTATGTGCGCGTGTGTCTGTTTTTAGGTAAGGAGCGAGAAAGAGGTTGCGCGGGAAGCAACCAACAGCAAAACGGAGGGAACAGCGCACACTCGACGAGGATGGGGGGACGGTTGTCCTTCTGCGTCTCCCGCCGCCGCCTGCTCGTTGGCGCGGATGCCTCAAATTTCGCGTGGCGTCCAGCGAGCCGCCCAAAGTGTGGTGTCCTCCAGCGCCTTCTTTTGGGGCGTTGCTGGGGCACTCCTGACGGCGGAAGTCGCCTACTACTACACGGTGGTGTGGCTCCGGGCGCGGGCTCGGCGTCCGCGCGGCGCACTGCCCTCAACATCTGGGGGAGACGCACCAGCCGACGCGGAAGGTGCACCCTCCGTGCGCCATTATTGGGGTCAGCTGCGTGACGCCGTCCTCAGCGCCCCACGTGCGTCGTTGGGGGACGCGGGCAGGCGTCTCGCTCCACTCGCGGTCGCGGACGACGTTACAGGCGTCGGCCTTCCAGACGCCCTGCGGGTTGTGTGGGAGGACCACGTGAGGTACGCCGTGGACGAGCGCGAGGTCCTCCGGTTGCTGCGGCGTGCGGTGAAGGGGCCCACCCTGACGGCTGAGGAGGATCTCTTTGCGGCCGCCGCGTTGGCGTTGCTGTGGCGCCTGCAGCTTACCCGGGCAGTTCACACGGCGGTGGTAGTAAGCGGCGACGTTAGCCAATGCAGCGGTGCTCTGGCTGACCTGGGCGACCACTCCACGACGTTTTACCGGGCGTTTATCCGCCCCCTTGCGGGAGGCCCCGCCGCGTCTGCAGTTGCCGCCTGCTGGTTTTTCCTCTCAGAGGAACTGCGGCACCTGCGACGCCGACGACGCCGGCTGCAGCTGCAAAACACCTGGAGCCTGGCCAAATACCTCTACGCCGGCTGCCGCGAGAAGCTGCTCTCGTCTGCCATGATGGGCCTCCTCACTGCCGTTGCGGCACACAGCGCAACGACGGGGCTGGTGGTGCGGGAGCAGGTTGAGCGTCTGCTGAGCGCTGCCCCAGGCCTGTCTCTGCCGCGCTCGCGCGGTGGCTGCCGCGGCGCATCCTCCCACGCCACCGGAAGGGTCGTTGTGGGACTTTTGGCGTTTGAGTGGGCGCGCCTTGTCGCCACCGCCGCGGTGATGCGTGTGACGGAGGATTACATCCGCACCTCCGCCTCGTCGCACCGCGAATCCGTGAAGCGGCAACTGTACGAGGCGCTCGCCCACACGCCGCTGTCGTTCTTTGACACACGAGAGCAGGAGGAGGTGGAACAGCTTATCTACTACGCCAACGACCTGGAGGGGGTGGATGTGCAGGTGCACGACTACCTCGCGAGATTCGTGCGTGCTGCGGCGATGTTTGCGGCGGCTGCCGCGGCCCTGGACCGGCACAGTCGCGTGGTGGTTGTGGCGACGGTGGGGGCATCCAGTCTGCTGACGGGCATGTTAAACCTGCTGCGACGGAGGTGCGCCGAGGAGGCGCAGGGCGACAATGTCGACGTCGAGGAGGAGGAGAATGGAAACATGGCCACCGACGGCGTGATGCTGCGGGGGATGGAAATCATTGAGCACATCTACGAGCTGCGGCCGTATGGGGCAGACGCGACGCTCATGCGCTGGTGGACGGAGCGCACCGCGCAGGACCGCAAAGGGCCTGGGATGGGGCGACGCATTCTGCGCGTGGCGCTTTCCCTCCGTCGCTTGTGGAACATTGACGCCCTCACCTCCCTGACGACGTGGCTGCTGCCGGCGATTGTGACCGCCCAGGCGGCGGCGACGTGTCAGGCGCAGGGGGCTCTCATGGAGGCCATGCGTGCCGTGCAGGAGCTGCTGGACGAGGCACTCGACGCCCGCCGGCTGGGAGAGGTGGTGTTGAGCAACGCATACAAGGCCAATGCGCTGGAGCGGATCATCGACACCAGGCACTGGGAGCGGGAAGAGCCGCTGAAAGGCAGCTGCTGCGCCATCGCCGTGAATGGCAGCGACGACGCGGATAACGTGGCAGCGCAGCGCGGGCGCGAGGCAGGGACGGGGGCGCTTCTGAGCGGGGACGTGGAGGTTGAGGTCCACCGCATCCGAGCCGATGGCCTGCAGTTCCAGTACCCAACCGCCCCCACCGTCAACGCCTTTCTTGCGCCCGCCTCATTCACGCTGCAGCTGCAGGATGACTTGACGGGGGCGGGGCGACTTGTCTGCGTCACCGGGCCGAGCGGCTGCGGGAAGACAACCCTGCTGCGTCTCCTCCTGGCCTTGTACACAACCGACGCCAACCGTTTGATGCTGCAGCTGCGACATCGCCGGGGCCTGGCGACGCAGGCGCAGACAAGTCACGACCGTGGCGGCGTGCAGGGCGGCAGTAATGGCACCTGCGACGGCGACGACGAGGGAGAAGGCGGTTGGATTCCGGTTGCATCGCTTCCACGCAGACTACTCCGGGCCACGCTGTTCAGTTACATGCCACAGACAGCCACCATATTCGCTGGTGCCACGATTGCGCAAAACATCACCCTACGGAGCCAGGTCTCGGTGGCAAACCTTGCGCTACTTTCGAGGGTGCGGAGTTGCGCGGAGGCGGCGGCGTGCATGGACTTCATCGGGCGCCTGCCGCAGGGGTTTCTCACCCCGTTGTCGCTGACGGCAGGCTGGGTGACGCCTGGGGGTGTGCGGCTGAGCTGTGGGCAGGGGCAGCGACTGATGCTGGCCCGGGCCCTGTACCACGGTGGCGGGGTGCTGCTGATGGACGAGCCCACCGCGGGGCTGGATGCGGCGTCGAAGGAGGCCGTCATGACGCAGCTGATGGAGTTACTACGGTCCAAGCGACTGAGCGGGGCACTCTGCGTGACGCACGACGCGGAGCTCCTGCAGCGGGCGCATCAGGTTGTTCGACTCTAAAGGAAGCCGCATAATTGGTGGCTGCGGGGGGCTCATTTTTTTGCTCTCTTTTCTTCATCCTTCTCCCTCTCTGTATCACAGTGTATGTATGCGTGTGCGTAAGCAGGGGGAGCTTAGAGAGCACTAAGCTCAGTTGTGTGTGTATATATATATATAATGTCTGTTGGGTGATGTTGTTTTTGTTCCTCTTTGTGTGTGTGGGGGTGTGCGTGCGTGCGTGGGTGGGTGGGTGGGTGTTGTTGGCCGCCTTGCAGACGCCTCTGCTCTTGCGTGAACGCCTCGCTGGGTGGTGGTCGTGGCGGGGTGCAAGGCAACCGCCCAGTCTGTTGGGCGCGCACGCGTCCCTCTTCTTCCCATTCGCTGCACGGAGGGAATAGGAGGCGGCAGAGGGCGACACGAAAAGAGGGAATATATATATATATATACACACACTGCAGGGAACAGCAAATAAAACCAGCAACAACAACAGAGGCTGTCTGAAACAGACCCTGGCGGGTGGCGCGTAGTGCATGAGGGAGAGACGGAAGGGGAGGGAAACGCCGGGCCCCGCCGCGCCGGAGGAGGAGCACGACGCCACGCAGAACACGATGGACCTCACCAAGATCGGCCGCTACAAGTGCTACGCCAAGCACGTGTCCCACCTGGCCTCATGGCGGTTTCGTGAGCAGGGGCAGGATCGTCTCACGCGGCGCTCCGCCTTGCTGCAGAGGGGTGACTACCATGAGAAGGCGGGAGCCTGTATGGAGTGCGGCAGCTCCTGGTGGACCGCCTACTTCTCGGACTGGTGTGGGCCGCGTTGGCGCGAGCAGCCGCCGTTTGGATTCCCCATGATGACAGGCCCGCGACGCTCCTTCCAGCTCCTCGTGCGGAAGCATCCCGCGGTGACGATGTGCATCTGGCTCTTCCTCTTCCTCTGCGAGACGGCGATGGTCACGCTGTACATCGTGCAGACAACGCAGACGGGCGAGGCGACCTGGGTGGACTACGGCGTGAAGGACTTTGACTGGTACGCTACGGTGCAGACGATTCTATCCATTGTGCTTCTCTCGCAGCTCGTCGTTGCCTACTCCGTGAGCACCGTCACGATCATCATCGTGCTCGTGACTTCGGGGTACCGCATCATCACGTACTTTGTGGCCCTGGTGAGCGGGCTGGGGTGGGTGAGCCGCATGTACGTGCCCCTCTTTCTGCGTTGCTGGGCGATGCGGCAGTACTTCCTCCTCCTGCTAGACTCCTTCGCGATGCTCACGCCGCGCAACCATCAACTCGACGTCATTCGCCTCGCCGCCGGTCCACTGAGCCTCTTCTTCGCCATGCTCTTTACCTTCGGCTGCGTCTTCCACATCCACCACATCTTGCTGGGCCACAGCCTCGACATTGGGGATGCGCTCTACTGGATCGTGGTGACGGCCTCCACCGTCGGTTTTGGCGACATCGTCCCGCTGGGCATTGACGGCCGTGCCCTCGCCCTCGTGATTGTGCTGATCTTCCTCGCCAGCATGCCGACGTGGATCATGCTGGCCATCTCGACGCTGCGCATTCTGCGCGAGTTCCCGCGCTACACGGGGCGGCGGCGACAGTTTTTCGTCTACGGGCACGTCAGCCACGCGGACGCCGTTTCGATCCTCGAGGAGGTCCTCACCCTCTACCCGATGAAGGTGGTGTGCTTCTGCTACACCAGCTTCTCGCCGGAGGTGCGGGCCATTGGGCGGCACCCGCGCTACCGCATGCGCAGCAGCTTCTACCAGGTGCGCATGCTCGATCGCCGCATGATGGAGCGGCTGCAGGTGTCGGAGGCGTCCGCCATCATCCTTCTCCCCGACGCCAAGACAGACTCCAGCCACATGGACGCGGATGTCATGCTGTGGTCCATCACCTTTCAACGCCACGCCCCACACGTGCCACAGTACTTGCGCCTACGCTTCGCCTTTCATGCGAAGCTGCTTGGCGGGCTTGGAAGCTTTCTGTTTGACCAGAACAACAAACTTATCATGTCCACGGCCCTGCTGCTCCCAGGGCTTCTGCCGTTCCTTGTGAACCTGGTGCGTGTCGCCTCCGCCGCCGGCACCGCGCCGCCCGACCTGTGGGAGAAGAGCTCGCAGGACAACTGGAAGAGCCTGTACGAGTACAGCCGCCGCAACATCTTCGCATCCTGCCCGGTGCCGTGGTTCTTTGTCCACCTCTCCCTCTCTCGCGTTGTGCGGCTCTTGAAGGCGCACAACGTCCTCGTCGTGGGGGTGGAGGAGGCCTCCCGCAACGTGATGCGACTGGACCTGCAGTACATCCTTGAACAGGGCGACACCCTGCTGGTGCTGCACGAGGGGGGCCTTAGCGGTCTGTCGGAGGTGCTCTGGAGCCTCGACCCGGGCGTCGCCGGCATGCGCCAACCAATTGACGCCTGCTCTGCCACCAACAACAGCTCCGTTGCGTCCAGGCCACACGGCGACTCCCTCCCGATGTCAAGGCAGGACCTCTTTGAGCTCGGGCCGGAAACCTTGAGCCCGGAGGTGGGCGACGCCAGGCTCTACTACCCCTTCAACATGAGCTTTGACCTGAGAGGCGAGGAGGGGGAGGGGACGCCATCGCGGCAGAGTAGCACGGCTGTGTCCGTGGGAGGCGAAGTTACGAACGTGAACGGCAAGCGAGGCGCCTCGTCGGCAGAGCCCCCCGAGTCGCGATGCTCCGACGCAGAGGTGTGGGACTTGCGCTGGGAACTGATGCGGCAGCCCTTTGTTGACCAGCACCCCAACGGTGTTCCACTGAGGGAGCTTCCGCTAGGCGGTTCCCTGTCGGTGCTGAGAGAGCTGCTGAGCTACCATCGGGCGGCGGTTGCGTATGCGTCTAGCACAACCGAGGAGGCCATTGCGCGGCTTGAGCAGCAGGTCAATGACATTCTCGCCCACGTCGCCTTGGAGTATCTTGGCCGCATAGAAAGGGAGGACGATGTGGAGAACTTTCTCTTCCTTGACCAGGTGTCGTGCTTTCGTCAGCCGGCGCGCTCCTCGCTGTACGAAAAATACCTCGATGAGGGCATCTCCAAGAACGAGCTCACGCAGATGATGCAGAGCATAAAATCTATCTACCCAAACTCGCGGCTAACGCTGCTCACGTCGCGGAATCTTTCGAGCGAGTTTCTGCAGTGGTGGAAGGCGAACTTTGGGAGCGCGCTGTGCTACATCCGTGGGCTGAGCACGTCGGAGTCGCACCTGGACTACGCCATCCAGCGAAGCGGGGGTCGCCTGCGGTTGCGCGGGATTTTGCTCTACTGCTCCCAGCTTGGCACCTGGGACTTTTCCGACATTCCACTCATCACGGTGGAGAAAAACGTGGCGCAGTTAATGGAGTTGGGCCCGCGGGAGCAGCTGCGGGCGTCAGGCAGACCGAGTGCGCAGCTGACGCACCTGTCCGAGCAGAATTTGGTGGTGGAGCTGGAGTCGTTCGTCTCCTGCATCTCCGTCACCCCGCACCACACCGATCCGGAGTGGCGCCGGCGCGGCGAGGTGCAGTTTCAGGACTCCCTGGCCTTCATGATGGGCCGCTGCTTCTCGGCCAACATGCTGCAGACGATCTTCATCCACGCCCACCGCGACCACCGCATCATGCAGTTCTTCGACATGGTGCTTTGCCAGCAGGGACGCGACGAACTCTACGACCCCAACCTGTGGACGGGCTACGGCAACGCCCCCACGACCCTCTTCAAGGTGTGCGGCAACCAGCTGCTGCACTTTCAGACCTTTGGCGACGCCTTCTCCTTCCTGCTCTCGCGGCGCTCGTGGGTGACCATCGGGGTGTTTCGCCGCTTTCCCGACTCCGAGCGGCTGCCGGGGGTGGCGCGGTACTTCATCACGAACCCCCCGTCGCGCATGCCGCTGCGCCCCGACGACGTCATGTACGCCCTCTCCGCCACGTCCCACATGTACAGCTTCATGAACCCCTAAGAGGAAGAGGAATCGGAAGAAGCTGCGGCGGCAGCAAAGATGAGAAAGCAGGGAACGAGGATGTAAGCAGACGCGTGTCCAAGGCGCGCCCGCATGAAAAAGCGGCAACGCGTGTGGAGGCCTGGAGGCGCGGGGTACCTATGTTTTTCCCGCGGAAGTTGGGGATAGCTGCCCAAGAAACGAGCCGCTCAATGATGGAGCTTGTGTGATGCTGCCGCTTCTTTCACTGTTTCTTTTTCTTCGTCTTCTTCTTTTCTTGTGTCTTTGCTGGAATCCTGTGAGGGGACGTCTGTGTGATGCGGTGGAGCCACGCAGACGGTGGTGGTGGTGGTGGTGGTGCTCTTGTTGTGTAAATTCAGTGTGTTTTGTGATTGTGTAACTTTTTGTTTTTGATTTTTTTTCCCGGAAGGTACCGTCGTGGGGTGGGGGCGGCGGGCGTAGCGCCTCCCTTTTTGTTTTTGTTTTGTGTTTTGTGTGTGCCGCGCCGTCATCCCGGCCCAACCTCCTTCCCGGCCCTCCACGCGGGGGAGCAGGGGCCTGCAGGAGTGCCACTTTGTGAGTTCACGACGAGAGCCCCGGTTGCCATGGCCGCACTTACTTTGAATCCATTTCTTCCTTTCCCTCACTCCCTCTTTCTCTCTCTCTGTGTGTGGGGGAACCCGACTCTTCAGTGGGGGGGACGCTGGGCAGGCACCGCGCCAAGCCGACGCCGCCGCTTTGTTGTGTGCCCCCCTCCCCCTGTGTAGGAATAGGAGGGGAGAAGACGGCAGCCGGACGCGGCTTCTGTTGCTGGTGTTGTTCTTGACTTTGGGGTGGGGCTGCGTTCTTGCCGCCCTCGCGGCGCCCGCTTCCCCGCGTGCCCTCCGCCTGCTGCTCTTTCTGCTCTCCCAGCCTTTGCTGACCCT